CTTCTGACTGACAACCGTGCTTCAGTTCAGCATTTTTCCAAATAGACATGTATTGAAGACCAGACAAACCTTGATATCCTAACTCTTTTTGATCAGGTTTCTTCTAGCCATAATATACATTTTCATTGGGTTCCATCACACGTCGTAATTGATGGTAATGAGAAAATCAATTTCTTGGCCAGGACTGCGACTAAGGAGGAGGCGAGCCTTACTGGGTCTCTTACATTTAGCGAATTATCCTCCTTTAAGATGATTGAACTCAATCAACTTGGAACAACTCCTTGCAGTCACCCTTAGTACTTCGGGAGAAATTCAGTAGATTCACTCATTCTTATACTTAGGAAATATTAAACTGCCTTCTCGCACTTTATGAGCAGTCTATTTGTAAAAGCAATCACCTTTCGCCAGGGTCAGAAGATAATACCAGATTGCCACTGGTCTTATTCCAAGCTGATTTCCTCTATTCACAACTTTGCTTGCTTGGATTTCAAAAAGGACGAAATCCTTCAGGGTTCTATTCTACTTTTAGACTTTTTAGAAATTTTTGGATTCAAGGAAATTGTCTAGCATTGCTAGACAATCTGGTATTAGCAACAATAACAACAACATGTAGATCCTTCTAAAATCGAAAGCTGAACACATTCAAAATTGGTAAATTACATATTGAAATTGATTTGATATTGTAATAAATTTTTAGTACTTTATTATCGTTTTATTTTAATTTTTTTACAGAACCGTGGGCTTCTAAACGTTGTATTTTAGAACTGCCATTTGAATTTTTTTTTACATGATAGAATAAAATGAAGTATTAATTTCCCCAACATTGTTACAAAACATGTATGTTTAATTTATTTTTAACCTTGTCTGTTGTTAATACCCCCTTTTTGACGGTGTCAGATCAAGGCTCACGAAATTCTTCACGATAAAGGGTTAGATGGATGCCTGTCGTTAGATGTAGAACTAAACACCATAAATGTGACAATACTATTTAGGTGGGTTTCACCCCATTTTGGGGCGGAATTTTCTTGAGGGGATGATCAAAAGCTTCACACTTCTCTTCTCCTTCTACCAACATCCCGAGAGGTTTGCGACTCGATAGTTATTTAGAGTATATCCATGCTCTACAGAAATTATACAAATACAAATATTCATTCCTTCTCCAGGATCCGAACACAGGCCTTACGACACAGCAGTAGCCTCACTAACCACAATACCGGATGAGCGGCTAACCTTGTCTTTTCTACTGAATTCAGACTAATTCAGTGCTTATTTTTACAGGTCATTCAACACAGATGCAGAAAAAAAAATAAAAATATTAAAAAAATTATGAATACAAATTACGATAAATTTCCAATTTGGAAAAGTAAAATTCACTCATTTTAGAAAAACTACTTCTCGAATTTTTTTTAGAGATTTACTATAACTGTAGAATTTAATTATCTTATATTCAAGGCGGGGGTTCAAGCTTGTTAATCATGCCATAAATACACAGGTTTTATATCAGAGTGGAGTCTGTTAAGTTACAAAAAATTGCATAATTTCTTTCTTACTTTATTGATAAAATTAACAAAGTCTGCTCATTTATACCTAATTAAAAATTGAAATATATTTGACAAACAAAAAACTGAGTAATACTTCTTACTTATTGAATCGAAAGGCTTGAATTTCTCAAAAAACATTATTACTGTTTGTGACATTCGTCAAAAAATATTGAGTCACAACGTTTAAAATATCATTTATAAAAAAGAAGCTGATGCACTTTAAACTTTCTATAGATATACAATTGCCTCTTCAATATGAAGATGGAGAGGCCAGTTCCCAATAATCCCTTAACAATGTCAAATTTTGCTCAAAGTGTTCCAAAAAATTCATATTTTTTATTGAATACAGCTAAGCATAATACTCAACAGAACGCGAAAATAGAAAATTTTACATTAATTTTCGATTAAAAAGTTATCACACTATTTTTTGTTTTATATATATTTTTGGAACATAAAATATCCTAAATACTTGCATTTTATAAGTATTCTGCGTGCTATGAAGAATGTATTTTATACCGTAAAAGAATTTATCTCATACTTACAAAAAAAGTCCATATTATACCCCTTTATCAAACGGTTGAGGATTTTTTGTGTTTATATATATATATGCACGCACAATTTTAAACATGGAGTAATACTTACACACACACATCGCAATGGTGGCAGAGAAAATATCAGCTTTTTTGTATTATCTTTCCATCTTCATTTTTCTTCTCAAGAAACAAATAGTACGTAACCTTTCCAATCACTGTACTTTATCGAATACTTTCAAGAATCTAAATTTCTGATTTCAATGTAAAATTTCCACAAAGAAAAAAATCCCGGATGAGAACTATTTCAGTAGCATGAATAAAAAACTGTGTCTTTTAAAACACTGTCACTAATATTCTCACTATAAGAATTAAAAATATGTGCAAATCAAAGGTAGAAAGAAGAAATTATCAGGGTCCGTATATAGTATATGGGCAAACTGGTTGGGGACAGTTTTCGGTTGACCATACTTTGTACGGGCAAACCAGTTAAGGCAGCGTTTCTCAAACTGTGGGGAGCCTCCCCTAGGGGGGGGCGTGATAAGTCTGCTAGGGAGGAGCGAACATATTGAAAAGTCGTAAGCAAAAAATTATTTTTAAACAATTATTAATTTACTACAAGTAAACAAACAAAATACATTCTCACACAATAAAAACTAAAATACACATTTGCGCAGATGTAACAAACTTATATAAAAGTATCAGTATTGCAAAATGTATTTTATAATTAAACTAGCAATATTATAAAAACAAGTTTAATAATTACCATTAACCCCATGGTGGCTTGTTATATATAAAAAAATATATACAAAAATTAACATTTTTGATAATTTATTTGGTTTATAAAAAATCCCTTAATTGCCGATAAAAAGGTACTCGATTTGTTCCATAATGCCACCGTTTTCCACGTAGGCATGCGTATGTTATGTATTGAAAGGCAGACAGAGAAATGGAATAAATAAGCAAAAATCCTCTGAAATAAATAAATCCTGCACAAATATTGTCAAGGTCCTTTTATTGCAAGTCAAAGCCTTTGTAATAATTTTATGGATAGTAATGCACAGAAAAGAGCGTACTTCTCAAAGACATATATATACGTCCGGGGCAATCAACGCTTTGGTTAATCGAGACGTTTATATACGCCAGTGGTACTTAATAGGTTAAAATCGTATTGTACCTTTAGCGTCGAAGTCTAGTATTATTGAATTCAATACATTGTTATTGTATGGAAGGGGGGCGAGATGAAAATTATATGATTGAATATTGGGTCGCAGATCTTCAAAGTTTGAGAAGCACTGAGCTAAGGGGTTAATTTCTCTCAATCAGTGGGCTAAATTCAGGATGGTCTCATGATAAATGAAATCTCGCAGTCCCCAATGAAGTCAAAACTGGAATTACACGTGTATTTGTTCTGTACTAATAAAATTAAGATAAAATTACAAGTTTGATAACTGCATAAAGATTGCAGGTATGAAGATTCCTTAAAATATTGTAATAATATGCGTACTTTTAAATCAAGTGTATTTTGTTTACCTGCATGCGTTGTCACTGACAAATCTGCACTTTTAAAAAGAAAATTTCTGAATAAGGCAATAGTTGTCATCCCCAAATTCGTGTTACATAACATTTATTTCATATTGTTTAAATATTTTCTATACGTTTTTTAAACAAAACTCTTTATTTAACTTCTCTGATTTAAAAATTATTATAAAAATGGGTCTTAAATGAACCAAAATTGAACATATTTTGAATAAATCTTAACAAAGCAAAACTTCACAGCCAAAATAATATAAAACCCTCGAAGCTGGCAAGAAAAGAAAAAAAAAAAATGAATTTGTAGTAGTTGACCATGTAACTAATTTAATCAATTACGGTTTTAGTGACACGAATTTATGCAATTTTTTTTGTTAGTGTTCTTCCTCTAAAATAAAAATTAAGGGGATTAGGTACGATTTATACAAAAAATTTTGCGATTTAATATTTTTTTTTTAAATTTCTTGGTTGTAACCAATATTCTTGAATTACTTTAAAATCCGGGGTATAAGGTACACCGATACATAACGAGCACCTATACTTCAAGCTGATGTTTTTAATATTTATGTAAATGCTTTGTATAACGCGTACTCCCCCTTTTTTATGAAGGAATTTGAAATGTATGTATGGAATGGTATTATGTACTGAAGTCATTTATTTGAAGTATTATCCCAGGATTTTCCAACAATAGTAGTATACTTCTATATCTAAACTCTAAGTTCTTGAGATATGTCATTTCTTTTAAAGAAACAGTACTCCGAGCTATGCAAAAGTCTAATTTTTTTTCAGCTCATTTCTTTTTTTTTTTTTTCGAAAATATTTTTTTTATACTTGGCAATCATATAATGTTTTAAAGAAAAGCTTTAAAATTTATGATGGGAACTTAAAATGCTACCAATTTTTGTAATAATTGAGTAGAAACATAAAATTTCTTTTACAAATAGCTCAAGATATGTATAACAAAGTTTGGTATGTGGCATGATTGATATACGTAAATTGTGTGTTAATTCTAAATTCAGCTAGTTTTTTTTTTCTTTTAATGCTCTGATGCAAAAATGCATACCAGCTTTCCTTACATGAACTATTTACAATGGGTAACAAGAAACACTAACATAAAAAAATAAATTTTTAAGTTAATTCAGACAAAAATCAACAAAGAAAACTTTATTTTTGTTACTTTTTATTAAATAATTACAATTAATATAAATATGTATATACATAAGACAGAATCACAATATTAAGTGACAAAATAAAAAGCTATTTTCCTTGTAATTTTTCATTTTCATTTCTATATATGACATTGGACTACTTTTGTTTGTTTGTTGCTATTTATTCATTAATTAAATTTAATTACTCTAATAAAAAATAAAAGAAATCACATTCTCAGAAATTAGGCCATCCCAGGTGGAATTTGGACCCATTATCTTTGGATTAGATGTCCAACATGCTATCCATTGCGATACAGGGATTCAACGAACGATTTTCCTTTTTATACATGCTGTTGGATTATTATTTTAGTTTGTTACTATTTATTCATTTTTTAATTTAATTAATGAACTAATGTTTAAAAAATACTGTATTAATATTGAAAAATACTGTCATCCACTTCAAGCTTAAAAAATGCATGTGAACTTGAGTGGATGAATAAAAAGTATTTTATTAACGATTAAAAATTTAAAGAATATATATATATATATATATATATATATAGGGAGAGAAGTTAAGTAAGAGAGCATGAATTGAAAAAAACCCAACACAAAGCGTTAGGCACAATAGAAAAGGAAACCTTAGCATTTTAAATAAAGATACACAAGAGTATTTTTTTCTTTATGAAATAGATCCGTTTTAAGTTTTTATTTCCTTTTCGAATGTGAATATAGAATAAACAGAAAAGTTATCCGAGTTTGTTTTTTTTTAACTTCGAGTTTTCAAATTTTGCGAGGTTATAGGAAGAGTAATTTAGACTAAGAAATTATATTCCAATTTTTGACCAATTTTTCCAACTGAATCATGCTGTGTACCATTAAAAACAGTTTTCACTCAAGCAATTTTATCTCTAATTCCATACATTTCTTTTCCAGGAATTTTTAAAACTTAAATATTTATTTTTGTAAGACCTTTATTTTAAATTATAATTTTTCTTAAGTAATATTTATGTAAATAATTAGGAAAGTCAACACAAATTAGAATCCATTTGTACATTTTCGGAATATATATTGGGTTTTATAGAGAAATACGCTGCTCTGTTTTTACATATATATGCTCGAAAATAAACAATTCTGATACGTTATAAAGATATGGAAAAAAATGAAAAAATGCATACTGGTATCTAAATATCAAACAGGAAGAAAATGAACTTATTTATAATAATTTAGATCTCAGTAAAGAAAAAAAAATAAACTAATTTTGGGACAGGAATTACAGTTTAAAATATCTAGAACACGAATATTTGTCTATTTGAATGTATTTAATTATGTACATTTTTTTTTTTTACTCATGGCAATCAATACTTGGCACACACACACAATGAACATATATTTAAAGTTTTTAAGAGTATACATCCTCTAAGAATATTGGGAAATAGAATATATAACTTACAAAATGTATCTCTCTTTTGAAAGTATCATAATTTTAAAATGTTATAAACACTACTGGCAATTTCCCAATGTTGCTTTGGCAGCTCTTTTGAAGTTGTGATGTAGTTTTCAAACTTATTCTATTACTTCGCTTTCAATGTTTTTAGTGAAGTAGCAAGCTAATTTCCATATATTGACCATTTTCTAACAAAATAAATTAAGTAAACGGCAGTTTTCTTTTTTGGGGTGCTATTCATTCGCCAGCCAGAGGATACAAATAATTTCGGTAGAAAATTTCATGTAAATTCAAAAAATGATTTAATGATTAAATATTGTTAGACGAATTTGTTTAAATTGTGTTTTAATTACATATTTTACATAATGTTATACAACAACAAATCGATATTAAATTATAGTTAGGTTGCAGCATGTATGTACAAAAATAAATCCTATAATTTTTAATGGGATTGCAAGTATATTTCTATCTATTAACCATTTAATTATATTAACGTTAACAGAAAAAGAAACATTATTTTGGAATTCAATGAAGAAATTCTGAGCCCGAATGAAAATATTCACGCACACACAGCTCACTTTAAATTTAAGACATAGTCATCTTTCATCGTGTTGCTATTTAAACAATGGTACTTTATTTATAAAAAAGACGAGATAAAAGACCTAACATATTAGTTTAATATAATGCACGAGGTGTAGCTATTAAGGTATCGGACTACCCTAAAATCATGATTTGTTTTAAAAAATTGACAAATTTGTTATGATTTTATTTTATAGGACATCGTATTAGCTTTATAAAAATACCAAGTTTTTTATTTTCCATTCACTGGCACAAAAACTACAAGTGTTCTAGTAAAAGCAGATGCTGTAACTTTACATAAGATGTCGAACTTTAAAATGCGTTTTGCTCGAAATGAGTTTTTTTCGAAAAGCTCATGGGGAAAGAGATTGCTCAAAAAGTTTTTTAAATAATTTGCTGAAATTTTTGTGTATGTTCTATATTACAGAAGAAATGGTTTAACCTTCAGATTTATCAATCACTGTTTTATTTCAAAATTTGCATTTCTTTATTCGAATATAATCACTGTTTTTTTAAAGCAATTTATATAACTAAGATAAAGTGCTCTAGTTTTTGTAAAAATTAAAATATCTATTATATCCTGAAGGTCATTTCAAAAATTAATAGCAAAGTAATACATCAAAATTTACTATTTGTAAGGAGTGGGTCTTATTTATGTAATTTTTTGTCAATTTTTACCCATTTTTTCCCATTTTAGCAGTAACAATTTATTTTTCTCTTCTTAATTTTACCTCTTTTTTCTTAAAATGTACTAAATAAATATTAAAAGCACAAAAAAAAATCTATATATTTTTTTAAAAAAAATATTGTCACACGTAGTCGGATACCTAAGATAACGCGACTGATTTTATAAAAAAAAAATTGTTTTAATTATATAACTGCAGAATTACTGTTCCGTAGGGTTTAGTTTTAAAACTTTTTAATATTATTTCATGTAATTATCATATATTATGACCCTTCATATTGTAAACTCTGACGTTGACATCATGTTTCGCTACTGCTTTGTCACAAAACATTTCGAGTCTCAAATCTGACAGAAACATTACTATTATGCGGTATCCAATCTGGGCCATCCCTAACTTCATATATATCAGGATTTACTAGAATATTATTAATTACGTCTGCACATTCTTCAGATTCTTCTCCGCTGCTTTCACTCAATATTATGTCTTCACGGAATCTAATTTAGAGTAGGACATATAACAGCCATTCGATTCACTCTTTCTAGATTCCGCTGTCTACTCTGCTTTAATTTTGAAAATCGTATGAATACATTTTTTATGAGCAGATAAACAAATACTATGTAACGGAACACTTAGACGCAATAATTTTAGTATAATTAATTCAGTTCCATTGTGAACTAAATAATACTGCATTCAAGGTCAAGTAAATGAGTAAAAGGACTTTGGGAAGGTTGTTTTACTAATGGTATGTACTTAACCCGCGGTCACTCGCGCCTGTTTTTGCTACCGTCGTTACTCACGGGGTGTAGAGAACACCCCAAACTTTTAACACGTGTATTTAATTATGAAAATAAAATTAAGTCATTATGATACATATTTATGTACAAGATGTTTTTTGTATTATACAAATAAAATTATTAAATATATTGCATACAAATGAGACTAACACATTAATTTAAACTAAACATACAAAATTTTTATTTTAAGACACATAATTTTATATTTTTTCATAAACCAGTATAAAACGTATATACCAGTAACAAATATACTTTATAATTAATGAGATAATGATAGTAGAAAGTAGAATAATAATATTTTAATCATTTTCCAAACATTCAGAGCAGACTGTACACATATGCTCAACTTCTCGCGGGAGTTCTTAGCCCCCAGATAAACTTTTGAAGGTCATTACATTCCAATCATTCGAGAAAGAGGGATTGCATCAGGCCTGAAGGTTCAATGACCTAAAATGTGCAGCTACAGAAAAAATCGTGGTTCTGTGCATTCTTTTTAGAATCCTGGAAGGATTTTCTTGTTGCTGGGGTGTACAGAACACCCCGCACGAGTGATCGCGGGTTAATGAACTATATTTTACTGAACGACAACTAATTATAATGATAAATTGCTTTCGTGTCGAAATGACACCAGCGGACTATCTAGATATATTTAGTTGTAACATCACCCCTAATAAAACTAGAACCATAAAAACGTTTCTTTGTAATCACTAAGAAAAATGATTAAAAATCACGAAAAAAATTTTGTATTCCCTGCAAAAAAGCGTAAAGGAGAACCAAGAAAACAGTCTTCCGTGTTCAATTGGCACCGATGAACGTTCTACTGTTAAATTTTCCTTCTAATCAATGAAAGTCTGAACCTTTTGTTCCTATGTAAATTAATTTTTTTTACTTATCATTCATTTTATAACTAATGACAAATAAGAAAATAAACTACTAAGACCACGTACCGTCTGAAGATGAGAAAAAAATTCATAATATTTGTTTCCATCAGAAGTGTAGCTCCGTCGAGCGGAAAAAATGGTTCTTGTAATTTCGCAACGATATATTCGGTCAAAAATACATTCTTAAATTTGTATTGGAAAAGAAATATTTCTTCTTAAGTTCATTCTAAATTTTTGCATTATTTAAGCAAAAAAAATTAACTATATTTTTTTAAAGAAAAACTGCATAGATCTGTCAAAAAAAAAATGTCACAGTGATTTTAAATTGAAAATTTTGCAAACTGTAAATTACAGCACAAAAAATTTTTTTTTTAAATATATATGTTACAGGTTTGAAAATTTGCACGCATATTAATGTTATACAAATAAATATGTAATGAAAATTTTATCATAATTTATTCAAAAATATTTAACGTATAATCTGGCGTATAACTCGCACTTTTAACAGAAAAGATTAGATCGAAATTTACGGGTACGTGTTATACGCCAGGTATAAAAATATCTATACAAATTTAATAAAAAAGACATGAGCATAAAAAAATTAGATAACGAGATATATCGAAGCAGTGTTCATTTGAATGAAATAACATATACATTTTGAACTTAAAGAGTAGTAGTTAGAAAACTATACTATTTTTTCAAAAGCCTGAGATTATACCTCGAAAAAATGACTTCAAAACTTAAGAATACTGCACACGTATATTTCAGGTTTCTTCGTAAAAAAAGAGGGTGCGCGTTCTAAGACGAATATACCTAAAAATTAAAAAATACAGCCTGAAAGTATAAGTGCGTGTTATACACCGGGTTTAACGATACTTATTAAAATGTAAATGAACTTTCACTGTTTTTGAAACATTTTCGCATGTTTCGCCATTTA